TTGAAAAAGGACAGGCATATGTTGCACTAAGTAGATGTAATGATTGGAATAATATTAAAATCAGATCCCTTGAAAAGAATGCATCTACTGTAGATGAATTCATGATAAAAGAATATGAAAGATTAGAAACAAAAGCATCTGAACCACTACCTATTTCTAAACCACTACAAAATATTTCTTAATTACCAATATTTAAACACTACATTAAATTTACTCAATTATAATTTTTATTTTAATTTTACTATAATTTTATTTGAACATTAATAAATTATACAACCAATTATACTGTATGTATAAATCTTAATCACATGGCGGCGACAAAGTCGCCATATCCAAAAATTTCTAGTTATTATCATAATTTTGTTATGAAGTAATTATTTTTAAACCATATAAGATAGCATGCAATTATTGATAAATACATTAACAAAATTAGTGTTCTCTGGTTATATACATCTTGGATTGATAAATCTACAAAATTAAGTATTTAAATCATTTATTTATTTATTTATTTTAATATCAATTATTTAATAGAATTTAACTCTTTTTGAAATTCATAATTAATTCTTCGAAAAAAAACAAATATTAGATATACAGTGCTAAAAAAATGGATTCACCACTACTAATTACATGCTTGGTAAAGAGCATTATCAAAATGCTATCAAGAACTATATGAACATATTTTGACCAATATTATAAATAATCATAATAATAATGCTTATCACAATTATCCCGAAAATGTATACTGTAATTTTAGTGATGCCGACATCATTTCTCATTATAATTATAAGAGTTTTCTAAGAACAAAATTAAATTAATAATCTCAAAAAAAATAATAATTTCAATGACGCCATCGTCATTAAGTAACTCATTACAATTAAATCCGTAAATTCCACGTATTATAATAAAATTTGTAATTGTACTATACTGATTTCCGAAACCACCTTCCCCTAACTATTACCTCTTGATATTTAATTAATTAAAATTAAAATTAATAAAATTTAAAAGTAAAATCTTGTGAAGGGTAATATGTATCACATAAATTGTATTTTTCAGGAGACTAAATTAGGAATAATTCCCCTTATTTATAATTATACCAAAATCTTTGTACAAAAAATTAACACCCCCCCCGAAAATACTCATGTTACAAGAAATTCTATTTTTTTTTTTTTTTGCCATCTACAGTTCTCTCAATTTAGAATCGTCAGATTCTTTCGAAACCAACTATTATCATTCTATGATATCATTCAGTAGCAATATCATTATCATTTGCATATTTAATTATTCTATTATTAAATTAAAACAATATAAAATTTTAATTGACTGTAATTCCGAATTTTTTACTTACCACGAAAACCGTGCAACGTTTCTTAAATATCTTTCCCACGTGGATCTAAAAGAATTAATGAAGATTTTAAACAATCTTCCTCAGTTCTTTTTGACGAAGCTTTCATAATAATCTTCTAATAGTGACAAGTTTACCGTTATTAATTTTCCGTAACTTTGAATATTCCTCGTGCACACGAAAATTTTGTTTTCATTTAATAATTTTAGTGTCAGCATTAGAATTTATTCAACACGTTTTTCTAAGCACTAATATGAAATTCAAATTTAAATATTTTTTAAAAACGCACGATTCTAAATCGAGATTAAACTTACAATTGGCATGAATTCAGGGATTTTCAAATATTATCTATAAAATCTTTGGGAATTTTTTTTTTCTACGCAATTTTTTAAGAAATTGAAAAAAAAATTAAAAATATTTTAAAATTCAAATCCAAAAGTAAATGTTCTACAAATCGTGACAACAAATGAACACGTGATTCAAAATTGAATTTAACTTTTATTGGGTATGATTGCTTCATGTTTTTCCCCACACCCCACAGATAATGAATTACCGAGAAAACGGCAATAAGGCATTTGTTAATGGAGATTTTGAGACCGCACGGCAAGAATATACTAAAGGAATTGAAGTTGCATCTGAAGACCCACGATTATGGTCAAACCGTGCACAAACTTTTATTAAACTCGGGTATCCTGAACTTGCGATAGCTGACGCCATTAATGCCCTCTCTCTCATTGAACCAAAGATTATTAGTGGCAAATATGAGGATGCTGATCTGGTATTATTTTGTAAAAGCGGATGGAGAAAAGCGGAGGCATTGGCCAAGAGTGATGAATATGGGTCAGCAGCAATAGAATTGGAGAGAGTGTTTCAAATTTGTAATAGGCGACCAGTGGCAGGTGTTGATTGGAATGCGTGGGAACGTGAAAAGGATCAATACTCTAAAAAACATTATCAAGATATTACGCTTTTGAAGAATATGGGCACAGATCGGCACATATTGGTCGAACAAGTTGGAAAAATTTACAAGTTTCCAAATCGTGGAGCTTACCCGTGGGATATCCGTAGTCAAGAGCGTTGCAGCAAAGAGAGTCTCGCTTCTGTTCAGAAACTTTTGGAAAAGATCCCTGGAAAGAGCATCAAAGTTGCATTAGTTAGCTTTCCTGATGTTTCGCAAGAATACGAATTTGGAATAATAGCAACAAAGGATATAAAAAAAGGAACCATCTTGCTTGACGAAAAACCTCTTATTTCAGTTCATTCTCCTCGTCAACGCAATGTGCTTTTTGCAACAAATCAATCAGTTCAAAAAAGTTCTCTTGTCCAAAATCAAAATGTTCTGAAATCTTTTGTAATCGTGATTGTTTTGACAAAGCTTGGGAGTTGTACCATCGTGCTATTTGTGGAAAAGATCTTAATTCGCAGTATGAAATTGTTAATAAAGATTCTAAATCCTCTGGCTCTTCTCTTCTAATTGTTCTCAAAATATTTGCCATTGCTAAACAACGAGATATTTGTCCCTTGGACATTGAAGAGATCAAGCACCTTTTTCCCTTCCGACATTCGACTGCGTGGTTTTAGCATGGCCCTATGGCTATCAACTTCTACTTTGAATTAATGAAATTATTGGAAATTCCCGTTTTTGATTTACGATACGAGCCATGGATCTATTTAACAATCTATAGGAAGATTAAACCCAATTGTAATTTATTTAACCCTGCGACAGAAACGGGACAATTATATCCTATAATCTCCCTTTTCAACCATCATTGTGATCCAAATGCCAGTCTTAGAGACGATATATCTAGAGCAATTCGACGTGGAAACCATTTTCGTTTGGCATGGTTCTGTCAACACAAGTCGAAGCAATCCGTAATATAAAAAAAGTAGAACAAATATTTATTATTTACACAGGAGGGCATGACTTAAGCATCTCGTCAGTAGTCGGTAACACTGTAAAAACATCCGGCAGTACTAAGCGAACACGTCAAATTCTCGAAACGACTTACGGGTTCCGTTGCAGGTGTTCTGTGTGCGAATCTTCATCTAATTGAAAATTGATATATTGAAATGTAATAAATCATTTTTTTTTTGTGAATTCGTGTAGCGTTCGGCGATTATATAATTATTATTAAACTCTTTACACATATGCAGTTTGTCATTTCAAAATATTGTCAAAATCTTTTTTATTATTATATAAAAAGTAATTATTTTTTTGGAAGAAAAAATAAGACTAATATAGAAATTAGAGATTCTTCAACCGATACAAGCGCGACTACATTTTTCAACAGTTACGACGGCACCTATTACAAATGCATTACCAATTACCTGAAGAAACAATAACTAATGATTTGGTAACTTTTACTTATTAAAAAATTGCTTTACGAATTTTTTCAGAATAAAGGTACATTTATTTTATTTATTACTATAGAGTATCATATCATTACATTTTACAATTAACTGATTACTTAACGACATTACATTAATTACCATTAGTAATAAAAAATTATAACGCTTTTAAAAAATTTGATGAATTGTTTAGTATTGTTATGTCGAAATTTCTCAATGTTTGGTGAATAAAAACTTTTAAAGAATAGTTTGATGATGAGGTGTGTGTATCATTCAACTAATTAAAAAGAATAAATAATTAATTTAATTTGCATGTATTTATTTAAATTATTTTTCGGCGTGGTTAAATAAATTATAATCTCGAATGTAGATCATGATCCTGTTAAAAGATTTTCTTCTGTGTGGAAACTTTTGTATATTGCTCAAAGTTAGCTATTAATAACGAGAAATTATAATAAAATAATAATTAAATAATTCATAATAATAAGAATTGTTAATAATTATTTTTAATTAGGATCATTTGGAATTACAGAATCCTGAACAATTAGAACGGATAATTGAAAATAATAAATTTTTAAGAACTTATTTCATATCTTCAAGTTTAATCAATAGGTATTTCCTTTTATATATTATTATATTATTATGTTATGTTATATTATATATTCATTATTATTATGTTATTTATTCATATCGTCATTAGTAAACATTGTGAATATTACATTAATCACAATTAATCACAGTTAATCACAGTTAAATTATACTATCATTATTTAATAATTTAATCATTCGGATAGTATAGCATATAAGAAATTGTGTTAATACGGAAATTAAATTCTACTTATTATTATTATATATGTTGATTATTGTGATGAAACGGAATTAGGTATTTTATTGATTATCGATTATCATTTTTTATTTGTTGATTTATTTATTAATTTAATAATAATACTATTATTATGATAACAACGGCAATATAATAAATTAATAATTAATAATGTTAATAATAATATAGCCGACGTGAACCAACCTTGACCGTATTTCTCTTGATTTAATCACTTCACTAAAAGAAAAAGGAAAAATGCTAAAGGTCATCCTGTCAAAAAGATGTTGTTATAATTATTATTGTAATTATTATGATTATTTATTATAACGAGTATACAAAGAATATAATAATTTACCTATTCACCATCATAATCGAACTCTAATACGTATGTTTATTGATATTTATATACTGTATATTTGGATATATAATCTTATTATTTTAGCCAGTCTTGGAGAATTAAGAATTTAAAAATATGGCATGTTAAATTAATGGATTACCCCCCGATTCAAGATAACGGTAATCACAGAAGTTTATTTACATTTTTTATTATTATATTTCGTGATATATTTAATTCTATATAATATAATAATGATAATCTCATAACAGTAATGGTGTGAGTAATAATAATAACTGGTGGTAGTGGAAATAACATAAATGTGATTATTGATTCTACGGAACAAAAATAATATTCATAACAACAACAACAACAACAACAACAACAACAGCAATAATAACAACAACAATAATAATGATAATGATAGTAGTAAAAGAAATAATTCAGCACCTAAATCACGGAATCAACAACTTCAAACAATCAATGTCAATCCATTTTTTCAGAATTTAACAGGTGAAGCTCCAAATTCAATCTAAGAAGCCAGAGAATTACATCTTAAATTTGTTTATGTCAGTTTGAGCACTTGTCAATATTGGAAAGAAATTGAAGAAACGAAAAAGTGTCGACTAATAAACGTAATAGTAATGTAGACAGTCAACAAAAGAACAATAATATAATAATACGAAGAAAATAAAGATTGTTATTATAAACAATAATTAAAAAGGAATTTGGAAAGAAATAACTTATGTATCCTTTTTTTCATTATTATTATTGTGTTAATATTATTGTTTCATTATTTTATTATTTCATTATCTTTTATTTTATTATATCTTTGACTAATATCAAATCAATTAATATTTAATAATTTAGCGTTCAATCATTTCCCAATTACAAAAATGTTGAAATGTTTTAGGTGTTGTATCCACAATATCTTCATCTACCACCACTACACATAATAATCATAATTATAGTTATTTCATAATGGTAAAAATAATGGTGATGTTATGAAATTAATGAAATCAATAAAAGTGGAGGAAGTTCGATAAATACAAATTTATCATCAATAGCTTCAAATAATGAAATCATTACAAAAATTGAAACAATAATAATGGAAACAATAATAATACAGTTGAAAAAAAAAATAAATATTCCGAAACATCATGAAATTACTTCAAAAACCATATCGACATTTTATTAATAGTACTTAAACATTTAAAATTTTCCTGTATTTTTTTTATACTTGACTTTATTTTTATATATACAAAGTGGAAAAACTATTAGATGAAGTAGAAGTAGTTTGGAGAAGTAGGAGCTTGTCACGTTAATGATCAGAGCAATACAATAGTGAAAATTTGGAAGATCCAAGAGTTCCACCTAAAGAGAAAATTAAAGCAATTCTGAATCAAATTAACCACTCTTTCATATCCAAATAAAAGAATACCAGTTTTGTCTATCATTCTAAATCTGTAGTAACAAATAGAGTATAATAATAAAGTTTGTCCATATTTTGGACTTTATTTTTAACCATGCGAATGTGGCAAAGAAAAATGATGCTTAAAATTATGTAATGCGTGGTATTTAATTACATCGATCTTATGTTATTATCAATTCTTATAATAATCTTCATAATTATCAATAATCATTTCTAATTATGACATCATGCAATAATTGGTTCATCAATCACTCAGCCTTGTAAAATATTAAATATGTTCTAAGCTTTCATAAGGAATCCATTCTATTCAAGTTACATTTATTTGTGCATCTTGAATAAGCTCATCTATCGTGTTATTTCCAATTGTCCTTTTATTAAAATCATTTTTGAGTAAACGATTTTCTCCAATTATAATCAGTAAATTCTTGATTGCATTCTAGCATATTCCATTTTTTTCGTAATATGTAGGTAAGAGTTTCTTTAAAAAAAAATAGAATTATTTATTGGAATTTACGTTAGTTGAAAATTGTTTTGGTGTAAAAATCACTTTGATATATTATTGCTTATTTATAATATATTCATTACAGCTAATATATAAAATTGAGCAGCCAAGTTACGTTATTTGTTGTTACAATTCACGGATCACGAAGAAGATATAAAATAATTAGTTGCTAATTAGAACAAAAAAAAAAAAAGTTTAATACTGTATGACGATTTATTTTCCGTGTATGAATTATATAAGATATAATATGCTCTACATACATATATACTTGTAAATTATATACTGTATTACTATCTTGTATTCTATTTTGATAGGTTAGGTACAATACTATTCGCAATATACTTGTCACTATTAATAAAGGTTTAGGGTTTTCACTAATTTGCTTTTGTCATATGAGAGGATTTATTTGATTTCTGATGGCTAAAAATGGAAATTGATGGGCGTTTAATAATAATCATCAAAAAAATCCGCCATAAAATAGTATTAGGAAATCTTTTTGAAAGTCCATATACAATTTATAAATAACTGATTATTTGTTTCCTATGGGCTATTGTTGGTTTAGATAATTATGCGTAAATAAATATACAGAGAAACTGAACGAGAATAATTGCTTATATTTAAAATTTTAAAATTTTCAATAGTAAAAAAAAGAAAGTCAATTTTTAATTCTTGAAATACCCTGAAGATCAGTATTCTCATTTGTAAAATATTAATAATCTTTTAAATCATGAACATATTTCAATGATTTTATTACTAAATTGCCGAATTCGTTTATAATTAAACCGACCAAGCGTATGTGTTACTGCTATGATAATCAATGATCGACTTTGTATTTGGATCATTTGATAATACATGTTTATAATACAATATTTCAAATTAGTCAAATTAATGTAAATAAAGGCATGCACATGAAACTTCCAGACAGCAAATGAATCTGAAAATAATAATTTTTATATTTAGAAATTTTTAATAGTCAAATAGATAATGAAATTTACTTAAAAGTTATTTTCTCCATTGTGTGTGTATTACTGTTAACGTTTTTTCATAAATAAAAAAACTCCGAGAAGAAAAAAAATTTTTTAAAAATAATTTCATAATTCAAAAATCCTATTATTTCAAGTATCAAAAGATGCATTTCTCATTTGAATTCATTTTTTACTTTATTTTTTCAATTAATTCGATTTTATGCTATGCCCCACCTGGAAGAAGTTATCATAATAGTGTATAATCAATGATCGACTCTTAATTTTCGATGGATGGAAAAATCAAAGTTTATATCAATTAACATATGAATTATTCTATTTGGATTTATCAAATTCATTCGATAATACAGACTTATCATGGACTTTGATTCCGGATGGAGATCTTCCCATTGATACTTCGTCTTCAACTGCTATTGTTAGTTTAGATAATTGGTGGCTATATAAAAAATAAAGATACACTCAAATATGATTTTTCAAACCAAGTTTATAAATATAAATATAATTCTTCCAAATGGACCATACCATCAATCACTGGTAATAGTATTCCTCCTAGGCAGCAAATGAGTGGAGTAATCGACAATTCAGGAATTATATATATTTTTGGTGGAGTTAATACCACCAATTTAACAGC